AGCATTTGTGGTTGATGAGTTATAGCCGTTCAAAGGTAACCAATCACACTTGCGTTTCTTTTGGTAGCCACTGTATGCAAGAAGTTATACGCAGAACAACTTATTTACATAAATTTCAGTAGTTTAAATTTATCATTTCTCTTTTTATGTATTTTAACTAACATTAACTTTATATAGTCTATCACATTTAAACATAATACGTGTTGATGCAAATGTGCAAAAACCTGAATCTATCTAACTGAATGACTGGAATTATCTCCAATCAAGTATTGAATATTCTAATGTTAACTTATCAAGTGATGTTGAAGCTCTAATTAATTCACTATTACATACCGTAAGTATTAGTTATTAATATTATTTTTGATGTAAAATGTTATTTATTTATTTCCTAATTAAAAAATAGAACACGCTCTCTGATTATTAACAATGTCTACATAATGCGCAATTTGATTATAATAACAAACAAATAGTCTTTGTGATTAATGTTTTTAAATGGTTGTAAGTATCATTGGCTTTTCCTAAAATAGTATTATTCATTTATAATATTTATAATATCATCTTACTTATTTTTAATATTGAAAATGCAACGAATGTTTTCTGTCTAAATCTACATTTCATAGTTTCTATAAAGGTGAAGCCATCCTTGGATCGCTGATGGTCCATCCCATATTGCAATACCTTATTAACATAACAAATGGTCAACCCTATTATGTTCTGTATATTTTTTGTTTTTCAATTCTAATATCAATATCAATATTTAATTTTCTCTAAGCATGCAAGTTTCTTTTTAAACATAGTGGTGAAATCTGTCTTAAAACAAGTTCGAATCAGCGTTTTATAAGACGTGATTTAAAACTAACTGATAATAAACCCTTGGGTATGAAAGTTGATAGAATGTTTTGCTCTTCTAATGAGCAAGGATATGAAATAGGCATAGTGAGTTGTCGGGAAGCTATTTAACATTTGATATACCACATTATTTAATAGATCATGTCAAAGGATTCTGTGATTGCTGTGATCTTCTCAATGATATTCTTCTTAGATATAGTCTAGGTGATTTTAAAATCATGCAACATCTATGTGTCTGGTTTCTACATTGTCAGGGTAAGTTAGTTTCAAGTTGATATTTTGCAAATAATAACTTATTATTATTCGTCTATAGATTTAGATGTTCAGATGTAGGATATAGATTTGCCTGTTTTTCAAGTATATAGAATGTTTCTTATTGACACTTTCAAATTTTCAATTAGTTAGGATGAACATTATAAACTTACATAGGTGCTGAAAATTTTATGGAATTTCAAAGTAAGTAAAATCTAATTTCTATTTATTTTATTATACATTTCATTCAAACTTTTTTTTACATAGATTTATTTAGATAATACAATTGAAATACTTAAAAAATTTAAAAAGTCTCACCGCAAAAATGCAACAATCGATAAACAATCTTTCACACTTAAAAATATTATTAAGAAATATGAAAGATTCACTAAAAAAACTGATGGAAAAAATATCACATATCTTAAATCCAGTCTTTTGTGAGTCAAACTACTAGCTTTATTTTAATATTATATTCTATTACACTACATTTACATATAAAAAGTTCTATCTTCAACTTCTTTTAAATGTTTGAAATTAATATTTTACACAATGAATAAATTTTTTTGATTTCACATAAAATTCTAACATAATGAAAAATGAAATATATGACATGTTTCAAGAAAGGAACTAGGCCATATAATGCGAGTCCCTGCATTATATTATTTAATGTTTAATTTTTCCTTTTCATTTGCAAAGTAAATATCCAACAATTCTCAATCACATCATCCTTTCCTATAGCTATCAAACCTTCAAAACTATCTTATAACTCCATCCATACAAACTATATAAAAGATTTCAGCAAATTTCTATGAGAGAATTTCAGATCTATTATATTATTCCGAAGCAAAAAAAATCATTTGAGCTGTTCTGAACTAGATAAATGACATTACCATTTTTTTACTGCTACGCATCTATGCCCAATAAATATGACTATAATCTATTGGCAAAGCTTCAATAGTCACTAGAATGTTCGCTTTTTACAAAAATAAATTTTTAGAAGCATTATATTGAAATACTTTGCTGAAACCTTCTTTTTTTTTTTTTTTTTTAACATGCGGTAGCTTTGCACAATCTTTATTTAGGAGTAAAGTAAAATTTTACAAAATTACAAATTACAAGATAGAGAATACAAAAATTCCTATTTAACAGTAAAACCAAATCAAAATCAATCTTGCACCGTTTCAGATTAACCTACCCAAATAGACTTAGAATAGATTCAACTATCCAATACAGGGGGCGTGATTGCTACCGATCTAAAAATTCAACCAGTTCGTATCAAACCTAAAGAAGGAGATAAAATATGGAGAAATATTAAAATCATGTGGTGATAATAAAGGAAAACCAGTGTTGGTAAAATGTAATTTTCGATCATTGAGTGAGATGTTGTTGAGGTTTTCAAAATTTTTGATATCATTATAATGATCAAGCCAGATAGATATTATTTGGGAGAATGCATAATGGTAAGTAGAAGATAGGAGACCATATATTAATTAGAAGTTGTTAATAAGGCAATGTATTTTGTTGAATAGGGGAAGGGGTATAATTCCTTTGATCAAGTCAATAAAGTTAAGAGAGTCAGGTCGATCATTTAAGGACCAGATAGTTAAATCTAAAAGATCCGTAAAATCCTGAGTATTTAAGGTCAATGTAATAAGATGTTATATGAAAAACCTTTTGGTTGAGGATATAATGTCAATGAATTGGTATTCAATTTTAGAATAAATCCAAATATGATTAAAAGTTTCATAAGTACACAAACATCTAGAACAATTTCATGATTGGTCATATAGATTTAGGTGTCTTATCTTAAGGATTTCTAAGGTAGGGAGCAGTTCAAGCATGAGTTTAATTTTAAATTTGCGAATGGAAGAGGCTTTGAAGGATATATAGGAGTTATTTTATTATCGTTGAAAATGAAAGAGATTCAAATCCAATAAATATCCATTGTATTGTATTTCTTAAAGTATGAAAGTAATTGTATATTATAAAAATCGATTGATCTGAGAAGGTCTTTCACAAACAATCTAGGTGGAATAAGTACAATATTCTCATTGAAATAAAGATTATAATAGTGTCCTAGAAATTTGTTGTTTGGTATGATCAGGGGATCATTAGCTTTTACTAAAGTATCAATTACATTATTATAATGATTATTTGAGTGAACTTTGACTTTGTAAAGTTTAATGGAAATAGATTTTTCTCTGATTAACTTTATGACAAAGAACCATATTGGGTAGAAGAAGATTTTAAAAATAGGGTTAAAAGTAAGAGAGAAGGTGTAGAAGTAATTCATATTATCAAAAGATGAAATGATATTTTGTGAGTCTGTGAAAATCTTAACTGCAGCATTTGTAGGAGCTACATATATAGCAGATAGTACCGCTACTAGTTCTGCTAGAGAAGATAAAGATTGAGAAAGGATAAGTGTAGCATTAAAGGAAAGTAAAGGTGCTGAAGGATTAGATTGCAACTAGGTCACGCTTATACAGATTGAAGAAGTACCTAAGTTGATAAGAAAACTATCAATATAAAATGAGAGGTTAGTTGATTATATAAAGTGAATTTTAAGGTCATCTAAACTATTGAGGATTTCTATATTAAAAAATTGATCAAGTGTAAGAGATGGAGAAGAAAAGGTAGAGAAGACATTAGTACACTATTATTAATTAAATTGTAACTATATAAAGCAATTTCGTAAAGCATGTAAGAGGACAAAGAACAAATATGACTAACAGTTGAAAAAAAGGAGCTTTAATATCAGCACATAGGTGTAAAGAAAAAATTACAAAGCAAGCTTCATGTTTATTTCTCATATTAGAAGGAACAAAAGAAGAATCATCATTAAGAGAGCATTTAGTGTATGGTAATAATAAAGTTTTGAAAGTATAGTCTGGCGATGCATTAAAATATTGTAAGTGAACTATATTATTTTTGATTCTAAGTACCTTTCCAATTATAGCAGAATAGGAAGTTAAATGCTAACCCACAGCAAAGTGTGTAATACTTTTAATATGGATCAGAGGAATTGAATATATATTATTAATATGTAGGCGATAATAGTTTAAAGGAATGATTCTTGTGTTGAGTGATGATATGAGCAATGATTGTAATTTGAGAAATCAAGCAGGAGCCTTAGAAATTGCCAGACGAGCTGCTGAAAATTTGAGGTCAGGTAATGTGAAGAGTACTGCACCATCTGATATTGTAATTTGATTAAGAAACATAAGTTATTTGCTTTTTAAGACTAGAGCAAAGATGCAATAATCTGTTTTATTGAAAATCTCACATAAGAGAAATTATCCTTCTTTTATGCAATTAGCATCAGTATTGCTATTGGAAATGGTGATATTGAGTGATTTTAGGGCAGAGAGCAGAGTAAACCACCAGTCTTTAAATTTGAAGGAGTCATCATACGGCTAAATGCTAAAGGTGATTTAATAAGCCATTCATTATTTTGAAGCAATCTAGAATGAATCAGAGATGTAGTGTCTAATAGATCTTTATCATTAATAAATTTGATAAAGTTGGAAATTTTTGCTTGGATTTGTGCTGAATATAAGTATGCAATGTTGTAAAATAATAATAAATGAATAATGGCTGCTAGAGTACTTTTAGATAAATATAGATTTGACTAAAAAACTTTTTTATATGACCCTATAATCTGATTACAAAATTTATAATTAAGAAATATTAATTGAATACGATACAAAATTTTTGGCAAGAGGACTGAGTTAAAGATTACTTTAAGTTATTTATCTGTGAGAAATTTCTTTTTGATTGTCAAATTAGCGTTATAAATTTTGTTTTTTACTTATTGTCTTATAAACGGGCAATTTAAGAAAAGAGAGATCCAAATACTGAGATAATGAGTAGATGATTTAAGGTCAATTGGTTTAATCCATTCTTCATTGTGTGCTAGTCTAAAATGTATAGATGATACTATCAGTACTGAAGAAAGTAATACAAATTTATCCCAGTTAACTAGAATACTATTAAGTTGATAAAAGTCATCAGCTATTGTTAAAATCGACTCAAGATCATTCTTAGATTTACTGATCCAAAAGGTATCATCCATATAAGTAAATGTAAAGACTTGTGTTGAAACTGTAGATGTTGAGGTATTACTAAATTGTGAGCGTCATTTAGCTAATAAATTATACCTAAGATAACTGGATAATGATCTGTATTTCCATGAGCTGTGAAAATTTAATTAAAGCTATTAGAGAATAAGGAAAGGATGAAATAGAGAAACGATAAAGGAAGATGCAAATAATTGAACGCATGAGTTAACATTGCGATATTAACTCTGTCATAAGCTTTTGACATGTCTTGAAAAAGGATCTAAAGTTATTTGCTCTTATATGATAATCGATCATATTTTATGTTGTTAAGAATGTAAATTAGTTCAAATGTAAAATGAAATGGTAATCTAGCAAAATTGTTTTCTTGTAAGACTAAATTTTTTGAAAGAATATCTAAGAGCCGTTTGTTGATTAATTTTACAATTACTTTTTGAAGGCATTCTAATAAAGTAATAGGGCAAGTATTATTTAAATTATATTCCTATAGTTTGGGTTTTGAAATAGAATAAATGAAAGCTAAATTCTATCTGTCAGACATACAGGAAAGTTTCAGACAGGCACAAGTAAAAATCCAAAAAATATGTTTCATTTTAGGGCCTAAATGTTTCAACATCTCATTTGAAATTTTAGAAGGACCGAAAGCTTTGTCATTAGATAATGTTTAAAGAAATCAGTTCCATTCATCTTCACTTGGTAGATCTATAAGGTTTTTATAAATCTAAGGATCAATTATTTCAATGGGTTTGTACTATTTTTTTTAGTTATCAAGAAGCAGAACAAAATGGTGTTTAGTATCTGTTGTTTATTGGAAGTATCAGTTAGTTTTACGTTTGACATCATTAGCTGAGATAAATAAACCAAGATCATCAGGTGAATTGTTAAAGCATCTATCTAGAATAATTGTTTGTCTTTGTCTATTAAGAATAGAATCATACATCTTGGCTTGATCATCATGAAAATTATCACATCTGCGTTGGAAAGCTACTTTAATTTGTTTTGTTTTATATTTGTCTTCTTCTAATTTGATTGCAATCAAATGGACTTTAAGTAACTCAGAAATATTCTGTTTGATTGTAGTGAGGTTAGAAAGTTGAAGGATGCCAATATGTGACCAGTTTAAATTGTATTTTATCAAAATATCAAAAATTATATTATATATCTGAGGCCAGTTTAATGATAGAGAATTGAGACGAATGCATTTTTTTGTTATATGTTAAAACTTTTGTATTAGAACCAATTGTTTATAAAGATTCTTCAGTAATCTTGGTCTGAGATCATGAGAATGTTAAGATGAGTATCTTAGTGGAATACATTTTTCTACTGCTTTTTCAATACATCCTTGCATGAGATCTCAGAAGA